AATTTCAATTTTTTACACATGGGATATGGGTTCATTTCTTCTTTTTGCATGTGAGTGTCTAGTACCTCAACATATTTGTATAACAGGTTGTCCCTTTCCCTAGAGAGTGCTCTTGGTATCCTTGTCAGAGATCCTTTGAGAAAATGGAGTTTTAGCTGAGTCTGTTTTTCATTATACACATTGATTTTGCTACACTTTGCTGCTCGATGGATTTTCTTCTTTCATATAAAAGAATATATCATTTATTATAATTTTCATATAAAATAAATATATAATTATTTTTAAAATATTTATTTATTATTTATACAGTATTCTGCTTGCATGTGTGCCTTCATGCCAGAAGGGGGCAACACTATACACGGTTGTGAGCCACCATGTGGTTGCCGGGAATTGATCTCAGGACCTTTGGAAAAGCAGGCAGTGCTCTTAACTTCTCAGCCATCTCTCCAGCCCCCTAATTATTTTTTCATTGTTTTATTTAATCACTTTACAACCTGATTGTAGCCCCTCCCTCCTCTCCCCCCAGCCCCACCCTCATACCCCCTTCCTCTTCTCCTCAAAGAAGGGTAGGCCACCCATGGGTACCTACCCACCCTGGCACATCAAGTCGCAGAAGGACTGGGTACACCCTCTCCCACTGAGGCCAGACAAGACGGCCCAGCTAGGGGAAGGGGATCCAAAGGCAGGCAACAGAGTCAGAAACAGCCCTCTCTCCAATTGTTAGGGGCTCCTCATGATGACTGAGCTACACATCTGCTACATATGTGTAGGGGGTCTGGTCCAACCCCTGCTTGCTCTCTGGTTGGTCGTTAAGTTTCTGTGAGCCCCCATAGGCCCAGGTTAGTTGACTCCGAAGGTCTCCTTGTGGTGTCCTTGACCTCTCCTGCTCCCTCAATCCTTCAACTCTCCGTAACATTCATGAGCTCGGCTTATTGTTTGGCTGTAGGTCTCTGCATCTGTTTCCATTAGCTGCTGGATGAAGCCTCTCAGAAGACAGTTATGCTAGGCTCCTGTCTGCAAGCATAGGAGAGTTGCATTAATAGTGTCAGGGGTTGGCTTTCTCCCATGGGGTGGTTTCTTTTATTTCTAAAGTGGACATAAATGAAGGAAGCTGCATCTGTGGGTAATTTCCATGGAAATTGTGCTAAACAATAATTACTTGGTAGGAAGAAAAAAACAAAACAAAACAAACACAACCTTTACTCTATGGCTTCTACTTTGACATGCTATTGAGAACAACCAAGAATAAAAATATTGGACTGTACGAGGAATGTGCCAGCAAAACTTTTCAAAGTATGGTTCACTGAACGCTATCAGTAATCATGACCTAGCCAGAGAACCATGTAACAGTGTTAGCCTTTTTTCCTGTATTGCCATTGGCATGGCTGGTGAAAGCAATAGTGGGTAAATTGCTGGCGCCTCATCGGATTATGAAAATTACTAAAAAACCACCAGCTTCACTGAAGGACATTTTTTTATGATGCTGTAAAAATGACCTTTGAGTCCATATTGTTTTTTTTTCTTGTAACTTATTCCAAAACATAGCAGTATAAAAAATACTTCTGCTACATACAACAAGACTTGATGACTGTGCAAGGAAAAGTTCTTGGCTAGTTATTTGAGCTTTGGGAAAACCAGCTATCCATCCCATACCCCCTTTTTAAATATCACTGAAACCCTGGTGTCATGAATGTGGCATTACAAATGCATGTCTTCAGACATGAACACTTGGCAAGTATGGGGGGGGTTGTTTTGTTTTGTTTAAAATGAACAAAACCATGTTACTTCAAGAAAAACAAGAAAGAGTACTTATCAGTTGTCAGCAATTAACCTTGAGGTTTCAAACAAAAACATTTTATTCATCACTATGAGTGCGGCAGCAAGTTCATACTTAGATTTTCTTCTAGGACTAGCAGTGACACTTACAAGCGTGTGTGTCAATTAAAATTATAAAATATGTCAGCCTTTGAAGTCTGACAAACTCAGTGAACCAACAGTTTCTCATTGACAATCACATTATAGTAAAATAATAATAATAAATTTATATCTTATATATAAATTATATATTTATGTATTATGTAATTATTATCACAAGAATAATAATTATTATTAGGTAAAGGATTCATTAAAAAAACAATGGAGTTTTAGTAACAGAGAGTATGAAAAGTACATAAAGTTTCAGATTCCACAGTGCAATTCACCTTTAAGAAACCTTGGAAGGAGATGGCTAACTAACCTGGAGAGATGGCTCAGTGGGTGAAGTAATTGCTATTTGAACAAGAAGACCTGATTTTGACCCATCTTCCGTATTCATATCGTAGAGCCAGACACAGCAACAGCTGCCTGTAATTCCAGCATGAGGCAAGTAGGGACAGGAACCTCTCTGGGTTAGAAGGAGTAGCTATGAAAATGTAGTTGTCTTCTGTTAAGCCATACTTAAGTAGAATTGCAAATGGTAAAAGTAATGGCCAGCCTTTCTATTTGGGGGGAAGGGAATGGAGGAGTGTTTAGTTTTGACAGGCAATAGACTCATTACTACTTCTACCTGAAGTTTCTCAGCTTTAATTTCTAATCTAATTCCGTTAGATTATAGCGGAAACTGACGCTATAATCCATATAAACAGAAACTTTGGGGGGATGCTCCTCAATATTTGTGTTATGTGATTGTGCTGCTAGGACTCAGCCGTGCTCCTGCTCTGCTACCTACCTCCCCAGCAAGTTCTGAGAAGATCACAAGCAAGCTAAGAGATCAAAAATTTGACAAATACTGTTAGAAAGGATGCAGTGCGGTAACTCAAAAACAGGAAGGCTGGAGAAGGCTCAGGCAGCCCAGAGGTTGCCGCACATGCATGCAGACCTGGACTTAACCCCTCAGAACCCACGTAACATACCCAAGTGCAGTGGCCAAGGAGGTTAATTCCACTGCTGGGGAGGGAAACCCAGGCAGATCCTGGGGCCTCAGTGGCCAGGCAGTCTAGCCAAATTTGCAAGCTACATGTGCAGCGAGAAACCCTGCCTCAAAAAATAAAGAGCTATTGATAAAGTTCCCCAACTCTACCCTCTCATCTCCACATGTATGTACACATATGTACACACATACTTCAAGGAAAATGAAATCCGTCTAGTAAGTATTAACTTTAGTGATGTTTCTTTCTAGATGGTGATGGAAAGTGGGGATTGGCTCGTTGGTGGAGACCTACAGGTGCTGGAGAGAATAAGGTGGGATGATGGACTGGACCAATACCGCCTAACACCACTAGAGATCAAACAGAAGTGTAAAGACATGAATGCTGGTATGTAATCTGGTTCTATTGCAATACTGACAGCAATACTAGCCAGAAATTAAAGTGTACCACGAATCAGTTGTTCGTGTGTGTGTGTGTGTGTGTGTGTGTGTGTGTGTGTTTGTGTGTGTGTCTTTTTAAATATAGGGGCTGGCATTGAATTCATTTTACAGCCAATGGTAACTTTGAACTCTTTGATCCTAATCCTGCCCCGAAATGTTGAGATTACAGGCATGTACAACCAGGCCTGGCTGAATCAGCATTTAAAAGCGGGGGGTGGGGGTGGGGGGAGAGAAGAGGGAGATGGAAGCCAGCCAGGCCTCCCCACCTCAAAGCGCAGAGGTAGAAGCCTGCCAGAAGCCATGTGGATGTCCATGGTCTGGGCTGCAGCCTGGCCTGTTATTATCTGTAGACTGTACAGCTGCCAGGGGCCATAATGTGATGTGAGCAGCCTGCACTGCCACCTGAGGCCACGGTGATGCCCAGGTTGGTGCTGCCACCTAGGACCATGTCAGGGCCTGCTGAGGCCAGTGTCTGTGTTGATGTCTGTGGCCTGTGTTGCCACTAAAGGCTATGTAGATGCCAGTGGTCTGTAATGCACCCTGAAGCCATATTGATATGAGTGGTCTGTGCTGCCATCTGAGGCCATGGTGATGTCTGTGGTCCTGGATGCCCCCAAGGGCCTTGTCTGGGTCTGTGTTCAGGGTCTGTGGTTGCTAGAAATCATGTGTAAGTCCACGACTGATGCTCAGATGACTGTAAAGAGCAAGGGAGCTGCTTTTGCAGTGATATGGATGATGCACAGCTGCCTCCGTTTTATTTAAGGGCGAGACACTGAGAGTTTGACCATGCTCCACGGAGTATATAGATAACAGAAATTGAACTTTTTCTAAAGAAATTTTTGGGGGCAGAGGAAGAGGTCAGAAAGGTGAGAGGGTAGACATAAGGACTGGGAAATGAGTGTGATTGGGGTGCATGATGTGAAATTCCTAAAGAATCAATAAAATATGATGTTGAAAAGAGAGAGGTATGTTACTTCTAATGAGGTGAGTGTGGAGGGGGTTGCCAGGTATGTGTGGATCAGATCTGAGGGGTCAGATCCCCGGGAGCTGGAGTTGTGGGAAGTTTGTGAGCTGTCTGATTTTGGGTGCTGGGAATCAAACTTGGGTTCTCTGAAAGAGTAATGCATATTCTTAACCATGGAGCCATCTCTCCAACCCAGCATTTTTTTAAGTGATGACATCTATTGGTTTGTATATATCACAATTGCCCTACATTTGCATACTAGAACACTAGGCAGCTGTTTAAAATATGCAAGTGTAGAATAATTTCTGAAGTGGATCCATTAAGTACAGAAGCAAATTTCAGAAGAACAGTACAGACACACATTAGAAAACAAGAAAGTTGAAACAAACAAACAAACAAACAAACCTACTTGTGTCTACAGAAGCACAAAGGATTCTGGGAGCACTGGACTGCTGGTGCTACCTCCTGGGGGTGGTGGAACAAGAAAGGAAACCTTTTCATTTTTCATTCTGTACATTTTGAGAGAGTGGTAATGGTAGGAAGTCATGATTTTCATTTTCCATTTTGGGCTTTTATATATTTCCTACATTTTCTGCAATATATATATGTATATTAATTACACTTTAGAACTAGAAAAATACAAACGTCACGAGTTCCTACTTAAGTGCAAGTGTTTTTAAGTAGAGGCTCAGTTGGTTTTCACCTGGAGACTGGTCCCTGTGCACATCTCTGTGTGCTCTACCTCATGCTCTCACGAAGGTGCGCCTGCAACAGGTACAACACTCGTGAGTGCCGCAGCCCGGGGTTTCAATAAGGGTGTAGACAGCACCTGTTTTAATTCCTGGCTCATGCTTTCTTCTGTGCGGTTTCCTGCTTCTGCATCCCATCCTGTCCAAGCACCTGGGCACTGCTGCTGATGTTGGATTCACATCCCTAACAGCCAGGCACATTCTCCCACTGTCAAAAGCCGGAGGACTGAACGAGGGGACTGAACAATCTACTACTTCACGTTTCCCCATCCGTTCTTAGGGACAAGCAACACTGCTTACTTTGAATCCCGGCTCTTCTTTCCTAGATGCTGTGTTTGCATTCCAGTTGCGCAACCCTGTCCACAATGGCCATGCTCTGCTGATGCAGGATACCCGCCGCAGGCTCCTGGAGAGGGGCTACAAGCACCCAGTTCTCCTGCTACACCCTCTGGGGGGCTGGACCAAGGACGACGATGTGCCTCTGGACTGGAGAATGAAGCAGCATGCAGCTGTCCTGGAGGAAGGGGTCCTGGATCCCAAGTCAACGATTGTTGCCATCTTTCCGTCTCCTATGTTATATGCTGGCCCCACAGAGGTGAGCATTTCCCTGAGCTCAGCCAAGGACTAACAATGCCAGCTAAAGCTTTATTTGGAAGAGTAAAATAAGTTTTGGGATCCATTCTTTTTTTTTTTTTAATTTTATTTTTTTATCAGTTACATTTTATTAACTCTGTATCCCAGCTGTATCCTGCTCCCTCATTCCCTCCCAATCCCACCCCCACTCCCTCATCTCCACCCTGCCCCTTTCCAAGTCCACTGATGGGGGGAGGGGCTCCTCCCCGTTCATCTGATCCTGTTTTATCAAGTATCTTCAGGACTGGCTGCAAAGTCCTCCTCTGTGGACTAACGAGACTGCTCCTCCCCTGGGGTGTGGGGAGGTCAAAGAGCCAGTCATTGAGTTCCTGTTAGAAATAGTCCTTGTTGCCCTTAATGAGAAACCAATTGGTTACTGAGCTACCACGGGCTATGAGCAGAGGTTCTAGGTTATATCCATACCTGGTCCTTGGTTGAATGTCAGTCTCAGAAAAGACCCTGTTCCCAGATATATTTGGTCCTTGTGGAGCTCCTATCCTTTCCCCATCATACTAACTCCCCTTCTTTCATATGAGTCCCTGTACTCTGCCAAAGGTTTGGTTATGAGTCTTTGTATCTGCTTTGAAAACACTGCTAGTTAGAGTCTTTCAAATGCCTTCAGTATACTCCTGTCATACGTTCAATGCACATCCCATCTGTCTTTCTAAACGAGGATTGATCATCTTACCCCATATCTGCTCTCTTGATTATCTTTTTTAGGTGTATAGATTTCATTATGTTTATCATATCTTATAGGTCTATATAAGTGAGTATATACCGTGTTTATCTTTCTCCTTCTGGGATATTTCACTCAGAATGATCTTTTCTAGATCCCACCATTTGCCTGCAAATTTCATGATTTCCTCCTTTTTGATTGCTGAGTAGTATTCCATTGTGTAAAAATACCACAATTTCTGTACCCATTCCTCCGTTGATGGACATCTGGGTTGTTTCCAGGTTCTGGCTATTACAAATAAAGCTGCTATAAACATGGTTGAGCAAATATCCCTTTTGTGTACTTGAGCAAACTTTGGGTAGATACCTAGCAGTGGTATAGCTGTGTCTTGAGGAAGCACTATTCCTAGTTGTCTGAGAAAGCGCCAGATTGATTTCCAGAGTGGTTGTACCAGTTTACATTCCCACCAGCAGTGGAGAAGGGTTCCCCTTTCTCCACAACCTCTCCAGCATGTGTTGTCCCTTGAGTTTTTCATCTTGGCCATTCTGATGGGTGTAAGGTGAAATCTCAGGGTTGTTTTGATTTGCATTTCCCTAATGGCTAATGAGGTTGAGCATTTCTTTAAGTGCTTCTCTGCCATTCGATATTCCTCTACAGAGAATTCTCTCTTTAGCTCTGTTCCCCATTTTTTAAGTGGATTACTTGGTTTGTTGCTTTTCAGCTTGTTTAGTTCCTTATATATATTGGATATGAGTCTCCTGTCAGATAAAGGGTTAGTGAAGATTCTTTCCCAATCTGTAGGCAGTCGTTTTGTTTTGATGACGGTGTCCTTTGCTTTACAGAAGCTTTTCAGTTCCATGAGGTCCCATTTGTTGATTGTTGCTCTTAGAGCCTGTGCTGTTGGTGTTCTGTTCAGGAAGTCGTCTCCTGTGCCAATGAGTTCTAGGCTGTTCCCCACTTTTTCTTCTAACAGATTTAGAGTATCTGGTTTTATGTTGAGGTCTTTGATCCACTTGGACTTTAGTTTTGTGTAGGGTGATAAATATGGATCTATTTTCATTTTTCTGCATGTAGACATCCATTCTTAATGAGCCAATTCTACTTTTCCCACCCCAGCTAAACTTTAAAGATGCTAGAAGCATCAAGTCCAATATAAACACATTGCTTGGACAATATGGAGGTTGGCATGTGATTGAAGTAGGTAGCCAGCACAACTCACCTGAGTCATAGGGCAAGTAGTATCTGTGTTACCTTTGTTACTGTGATAAAACATGACCTGAGTTTCTGTGGGCTTATGGTTCCAAGGTGATGAGTCTATCATAGCAGGGAAGCATGGCAGCTAGTTGCAGGCTTGAGCTCAGGAGCAGGAAGCTGAGAGCTTACATCCTTTACCACAAGCATGAATCGAAGCAGACAGCAAACTGAAGTAGATAAAGCTTTTTAAACTCGAAGTCCATCCTAGTGACACTTTTCCGCCAGCAAGGCAGGACCACCTAAAGCTCCCTGAAGGGTAGGCCCAACTCAAGACCAACTGTTCAAATGCCTGAGACTAAGGGGGGAACTTTCTCATTCAGACCACCATACTAAGCTAACAATTTATCAGTGCCAATTGTTCTATGTGATTCACTATGACTCAGGAATTTTTAGAAGGGAGAAGGATCTTTAAAAGACAGCATCATCATAATATCACAGTGACCCTATTTGAGATTCTTGGTCCCTCAGTACTGGCCATGCAGTGAACTTGGAGTTTGCAGAAGTACGATTGAAAGGATCTTAATTAACTCTTCCAAACAGCCTAAACTGAGTTTAAGAAACTCTCTTCAGTTACATCAGAGTTCCACACCTTTCTACAGCTCTCCTCCCATCCTATGGGTTTTTTTTTTTTGTTTGTTTGTTTTGTTTTGTTTTGTTTTGTCCTGAGCTTTAAAGATAGCAAGTCTTATGCTGAACTGGAATCAATACTTATATATGAAAGGCAACTAGTTCGTTACTGGCAATCCGAGGATGACTTAGAATCTGTAACATCGCTTAAAATTTGATTTGCCCCAAAGCTAAAATGTGTAATTCACAGTCCTTTGTAATAGTATTTCTGATTTCTTGCTTCATTGAGATCCCTATAGCTCATGACTTTAGAGCTCCTGTCCTATCCAATACAATCCACCTTGAAAAGCGCTCAAGGCTCAGCACTCATGGACTTCCTTGCTACTTTTAGTTGACCTGCCCCTCGCAATCATCTCGAAAACAAGTTAAGGAATCAGCACAGAAAGGAACCTGTGGACTTGGCCCACAACCATCATGCTCCCTATGTGGTTTTTTTCCAGGTCCAGTGGCACTGCAGGTGCCGGATGATCGCAGGGGCCAATTTCTACATTGTGGGCAGGGATCCTGCAGGAATGCCCCACCCTGAGACAAAGAAAGACCTGTATGAACCTACCCATGGGGGCAAGGTCTTGAGTATGGCCCCTGGCCTCACCTCTGTGGAAATCATTCCATTCCGAGTGGCTGCCTACAATAAAACCAAAAAGGCCATGGACTTTTATGATCCAGCAAGGTAGGTCTAGAGGAAATTTTCATTGGCACAATTGGCATGAGGAGGCAAAACTTTGACCCTCTGGGAAAGTCCCCAGTTTACATGCTCCCAATTGGAAAGACACTCCCTTAGGAGTTAAGAGCGGCTCTTGCACAGGCTGTGTCCCCTGACATCATAGCAGTCTTCTGCATGTGGCTGTTGGTCCACAAATATCTCTTTGGGTATAGCTTACTAGTAGAATAATTGCCTAGCACGTGAACAGCTCTGGGTTTGATCTCCAACACCCCCACAAAAAGCTCTTGAGCTGGGCATACTGGCACTTGCCTATAGTCACAGCACACAGGAAGTGGGAGAAGGGATATATGAAAACTCCAAAATCGCAACAAAATTGTCCCTCTCCACATATATATATCTTATGTACACACTGTGAGCACCTAGCATATTAGGTGAACGGACATAAGGGAAAAGATTGTCAGTGAGCATTTATGGTACATTCATGCCCCATACTAAGTTCACGCAAGGTAATCTCTGGCCTCAAGATATGAAAAAGGCAGATGTGCAAGAAACACTGCATAGACATCTGCCTTTATTCCTCTTTTGTAAGATTATGAACGGAAGAATGAGAGAACTGCCTATTTTAAAGCATGCGGCTGTGTTCGGGGGGGTGGGGGGGGATTCTAAACACCAGCAATCCAACTCCAGGGATCTTTGTTCCTTCCCTGCTCTGAGCTCTCTGTTGCTGTACTGACAGGCATGCCGAGTTTGACTTCATCTCAGGAACTCGTATGAGGAAGCTTGCCCGGGAAGGAGAAGACCCCCCAGATGGCTTCATGGCCCCCAAAGCATGGAAGGTGTTGACAGATTATTACAGGTCTCTGGAGAAGATGAACTAGGTGTCCCTGGTTCTGGCTTCTTTCTCAAGTGCTCTTTGACTGACGATTTTTTTTTTCTATCTTTGTGATTAGATGCTCTATATCCAATTGCTCCTTGATGACTTTTTGAAGTTAGTATTTTACAACGAGGTAAAAAGTTGTGCCTATAATTTAAAACCAACTTCATTATGTTTATCAAAGTCACACTGGAAACTAAGTCTTAGGCTTATACTGTTATACATTCCAGAGTGAAAACACTTGTATTTTACTTCATCTCAGCAGATGTTCAGACTTCTTAAAAATGTGACTATGTCTAATTGACTTGCCCAACACAGAATGATACTAACCAGCTTCATGTTGCCAGCCTGGAATCCCAGAAGCAATACACCACGTGAACAGCTTACCTCACGACTACACACGGCCTCACTGTCCAGTGTGTCAACTGAAGATGCAACTGGAAGAAACGTGTGTGAAGACGTGAATGAAATCTGAAAGAGCTATGTAATTTACTTTTGCAGTGAAAATGACATAGTCCAATACAAAGAGACGTTCTAATGGTCTCCTATGAATAGTAACTCTAGTTTGACAGCACTCTTCAATATTGTGCTTTAGTGAAGAATTTTCCCTGATGATTTAGGAATCGTCAGGGTGTACTGTAGAAGACTTCTTTCCCCACTTTGCTGTGGTCGTAGTTACTTAAAGAGGCACCTATTTGATTGCTGTAACCAAAACAAACCCACATATTAAATTAACAAGAAGCTAAAACTGTTGATATCTGAAGTTAAAATGCAAACTTTATCCTAGTGAACAGATAATATGTACATAAGCTTTGGGGGTGCTGAGCACTGTAACACACAAAATTGACATTAGCCAATACTGCTCACACCAAAAGACTGCCCAGGCCGCCACACTCCTAAGCGGGGTCCCTGTCTACCTTAGACAGCGTAAGAGCAGGTTCTGATTCCTTGAAGCTACTTAACAAAGCTCTCCTTGAGGATGCTAAAAAGCAACCTTCTTGGAGACTGAGGGCTCAGGGTATCCCAAACTCTCAATGTTACAAGTTTCCAGACTGTGCCTGTCGTGAGACATCCTTTGATGGTTTTATTTCTAAGAGGTGATTTTTGTATTTTATTCAAGGTTCATTGTTGCCAAGGAATACGTAAATAAAAAGCATCTTTTACATACAGGTTTCTCTGGAAGAGACCCCAGACTGAAAAGAGAAATTCACTTTTTTCATACTGCTACTTTTTAAAGTTAATAAAAGCTCTTCTGAGAGTAAGATATGTACCATGACCACAGCAAAGTGAGTCTTCAACTGTGTTGTGCCTGTGCTCCCTTCTGTCAGAGCCACTCACTGGTGCCTTTAAGACTACACATTCACTGACACGACAGGACTGTAGTGCCTTAACAAGCGAATTGTGACTTTAAAGACAGTAAGCTGCCTTTCTGCTGAAGTACTACAGTTAGTGTAACTGTTCTGGTGTCCAACTTGTATCTGCTCTTCAATAAACCTCTGGAAGACCAAGCTAGTCCTTTTGTCTTGTAATGCTGAGTATTGGCTGGCATCAATGGCTGCTTGAGGGTGTCAGAACACTGTGTAATCGGAGAGCAGTAACAATCCTCTAGGGCTTTAAGAGGCTATTTGTCCTTATTCATGTCATTCTCTAGCTTGAACTTCAGATGTAAATGACTCCTGGTCTTAGCTGAGCACTTGCTTTTCAGAGGTGACTTATCACCCTCTGCCCAGCATTTCACGGCAAGACAATCTACAGTGACGAAGCCAAAGCCCTTGTTCTTATGGGAACAGCCTCCCCAGCTTCACCAACAAGCTTAAATCACTGTCTGCATTCCCCCCTCCGTAGCCTCCACTGTGTTCCCCTTAGCAGTGGTGTGTGTCTACGGTAGTGCGCCTCCGCTCTCACTCTCAGTGGCCTTCAGGCTACAGCCGGTGCCTCTTCCAGAGCAGCTGGGTTACTTCTAATGGCGTGATGCAACTATTTCCTACTGATCTTCACAAATACTAGCAGAGGAATAGCCAACTCACAGCTATCCCTCGGTGCTACAGATGTGGCTCGGTAGGTGGGCTGCTTGCCTAGCATACATGAAAGGCCTGGGTAAAGATTGCCAGCACTGTGTAACTAGGCACAGAAGCATGTGTTAATTCCAGCATTTGGGAGGTAGAAGCAGAAAGATCAGAAGTTCAATGTTTCCTAGGCTACACGGTTAGATCCAGTCTCAAAAAATAAAAATGAGTGAATGAATGAATGAATGAATGAATGGTGCCATTTGTGGCTCCCCAGATTTACCTGGTGGCTCTTACCATCAATTAGCAGGGCAAAGTAGGCCAAGAAATGTATGCATCAAAGTGTAAAGAACTACTAAGAGGCCATGACACTCTTCAGAATTGTGAACAAATCCTGGAAAGGCATACATAAATCATTTTGTAAGACCTTACATCAATATTTATCAGCCACAGAAGGCACCTGAAAGACTCTACCTAGCAGTGTATCAAAGCAGATGCTGAGATCCATAACCAAACCTTCAGCAGGGTGTAGGGAATCATATGAAGGAAGGAGGAATTAGTATATCCTACAGAGGACAGGGAGCCCCACAAGGTCCAAATATATGAGCACAGGGGTCTTCTATGAGACTGTTTATCCAACCAAGGGCCATGCATGGATATAACCTATGACCCCTGCTCAGACATAGCCCATGGTAGCTCAGTATCCAAGTGGGTTCCCTAGTAAGGGGTACAGGAATTGTTTCTGACATGAACTCAGGAGCTTCCCCTCCTCCCTGAGAGAAGAGCAGCCTTGCTAGGCCACACAGATAAGGACATTGCAACCACCCAGAAGATACCTGATAAGCTAGGGCCAGATGGAAGGAGAGGAGGACAACCCCTCTCAGTGGAGTCGGAATGGGGCAGGGAGGAGATGAGGGAGGGAAGGGAGGGTTGGGAGGGAAAGAGGGAGAGGGCTACAGCTGGGATACAAGTGAGTGTATAAAATTATTTAAAAATAAAAAAAATATTTAAAAATTTTCAAAAACAATTGGCTTTCCCAAGCTCCTAAAAAAATAAGATAAAATAACTTTTCTCTTGAGATAATTATATATATATATTTATCAGGGCCCAATATTTCTTTCCAACCCATCTGTCCTGCAAGAAACAAATCTTGATTTCTCAAGAACAGCAGCAAGTTTGCCGTTTCCCCCTCATCTTCCACTTTTCTGTTAGGCATCTGAGTCTGGCAAGTGTTCATATTCTGTAGAACTGTCTTTCCAGGCAGGAAAATCAGTGAATCAGACAGACAAAATAAGTTTTTCTTGTGCCTAAAGGTTTCAGGGAACTGCGTAGCTTTTAAATGACTCAAATTCCCACTGCCTATTAATAGATATGCTTAGAGAACTGACTGTTCAGGAATACTGGAAGAATATTCACCAATCTCTCTCCCAAACCCGGCATCTATGTAGTGCCTTGGTGAATACTGTTACTGGGTCGCACACAGAACATAGTTACCAAATGAAGATGATATTCAAGTAATTCACAATATGCATTCCAAAGTAGTAAATTTGGCTCATACTGTAATTTTACTTAAATTATCAAAAATAAGTGGGCTATTTGCTAGAATTTGAACATTTTAGCGAGGTTCTAGAAAGAAAACTATTTCATTATAAGGCTAGCAAATTAGAGTGGACAAAAATCAACCAACCAACCAACAAGAACTCATTTGGAGAAGTCTTTCAGAGGTAAACCTGGCCTTACCCTGGCAGTATTGGTGGAGGAGCAGACTAATGTGGATGCAATGCACAGAGCTATGTGCTTGCCAGACAGGGAGAGACCTAGCAAGGACGGGGATAATTCAAGAAAGACTGAATTGCTGGGATAAATGGAATCTGGAAACATATCACCTGTAGAAACAAACTCTTGGACTACAATCCTACTCCTTTGGGTTTTGTCAAGAGCATATCAGGAGAGAGGCTAGATGCCTTGTCTATTCTCAAGATGACTGGATTCCAGCTTTTAGAATTAATACCAAATGAAAACCACAAATATGAAGGTGTAACCCAAACTCCTCCCAGCTCAAAACAAACAAGATTAAAAGGCTGGTGAATGGGTGAGTAGGGGCTTAGTTAAAACCATCAAAAGGTTCAGTTAAGGGCTCAGCACAGGGCCAGTGCAATCAGGACTGGAAAGAACAGGTAGCTATCTGCCCTTTACCCTGTCATAGGGAAGGGCTTGTCCTCACTCAATATAAAAACCTGTATTGTATTTCATTTTCCATGGCTCTTGTATATCTGTCAGATAGTATAAAAACTTTAACAATTATTTTACCAAGGCAGAGTTGGGCACTCCAAGTGGAAGAACTGAACAGGATGCCACACAGCAGTCCTTGTAAGCCTGTACACATGAATCCCCTCTCACTCTCTGCATGCCCACTGGTTATACTGCCCTTTATTTACCAGGTTGGCTGTGGCATTTCACAAGCAGCTAGCTATGTGCCAGTTTTGTTCATCCAGCACTCTCCGCATAATACTGTTTAGAATGAATTACCACTCTCTCCTTTTGTACTTAGTCTTAATGCCTCAATAGACCACTATACTCAATGGCAACCTATTTCAATAATTCCAGCAGCTCTCAGAGCAATGGGCTGCTTGAAGAGTTCAAGCAATCCCCTGGAGAGAGAGAGAGAGAGAGAGAGAGAGAGAGAGAGAGAGAGAGAAGGCCTTGAGCAATCTTAGCTAAAAATAAGAAGTTGGTTTTTTCAGCTCTCCTCTAAGGCCATGAGTTCCACCTGCTTCAAAGAAATTATTTTCTAGATTATCTGCAGTTGGTTGCTGCCAACAGAATCCTAATGGGGCAGTCTTTCTAAGGTTGACTATGGCCTAGACATGTCTGTGAACAGGCATGAGATAAGCAATCTTCTGAGTAACTGAATTCTGAAATCTACTCATCTTTAGGACAATGTCGTCTACGCCATTTCTTGGTTACAAATTTGCATGTCAGTTATCAACTCCTTTTGGTGTTGCTTTAGAACTGAGCCACCATGCCGGACATTATGGCACTAGGAAAACTAGGCAGGAAGCTCTCCAAGCTTCGGCACAGGCTGGGAAGCCATGTCTCAAAAACACACATCTGAGCTGTCATGGTTTACACACCTGTGTTTTCGATGCATTATAAACATGGCAATAACGTTCACTGCAACTTATTTCAAAGCACAAAAACAGTCTAAAAACAGACTCAAAGCAGATTCATTTCTATTTATGTGTGGGACATGTGAGTGTGGGTGGTTGCAGAAGCCAGGAGAAGGCCCTGGATTCTCTGAAGTGAGAATTACAGAAAACTCTGAGGGAGAGAACTGAGTGCTGGGAATCAAACCTGTACCCTCTGAAGAGCAGTAAACACACTCGTAACTGCTAAGCTACCTTTCTAGTCTCCTTAAAAGGCTTAGAACTGTAAATATTCAACAATCACAAAAAAACACACCCTATTATTATGAAATTTAACAATTACCAGGCTTACCAGGATGTCTTCAATTAACACTGTGAAATTATTTTTTTTAATTTAATTTCATCTGCATGTGGTGACTCTTACATGGATTAGCTATACTGTAGTCAATTCAGTTCGGAGATTGTTTCATATGGTTCAGGTTCTCTTGAATATGATTCCAACAAATGTTGACTTGTATAAAAAAATTTTAAAACATTTACCTTTATTACTTTTAAGTGTGTGTGTGTGTGTGTGTGTGTGTGTGTGTGTGTGTGTGTGTGTAGGTAGATGTGTACATGTGAGTGCAGGTGCCCACAGTGGCCAGAACATTAGATTCCCATGGAATTGGAATTAGGCTACTGTGAACAGCCTGACGTGAGTGCTGGAAACAAAACTCTGATGTGCTCTACAACAACAAACAGTACGTGATCTTAACTACTAAATCATTTCTCCAACCCTTTGGACAGAATTTTTCCCTCACAGAGGATTCTACTGCTTTATTTGAGATACCAAGATAATGCTGCAAGTGTATTCATGTAGGCTTTACCCTCAGCTTTCTGAAATTCTTTTTAATATTCTGGCTTTAAGAGACGCTAAAAGAATGTAATTAAACACTACCCAATTAATTTCATCGAGAACAAAGCCACAAATAACCCAATTACAGTAGAAAAATAAGGTGTAGCAATGAGGTGCTCCTATAATTTTTATACAGGTAGCTGCTGAGCCTCAGGACACTGTCATCTTGCATCAAAACCACAAATTACAGATGTTAAATAATACTGTCTTATTACTGTCCATAGCAGAATATTTAGATTATCCCATAACATAAGTTCTGGATCTAGCTGCAGGTGGGGAGTAGATTTCAATAGGAAAAAAGGAGTAAGATTTGACATTAAATCAACTTAAACACTGAGTTTATAATCCCAATTTTAAAAGGCATGGAAACAGCAGAAGACACCAAACCTATCAGAAATCATCCAACAGTGAGATTTCAGAGAAACATCTCACAGGCAAGCCTTTCATTTTAGTTCCTAGAGATAACAGAAGTGGCCTGGAGACTGCGACCATCAGTACCATGATGGCTAACATCTGAGCAGTGTGTCTGCTGAGTGCCTCCATGCTATCACACTGTTCAACTCCCTAAAGCAGGTGACACAGTTGCCTAGGAGATGAGGAACAGAAACAAAGCAGCCAGTCTCAGGACACACAGTGGGAAGCCTGGAGTTAGCCCAGAAAGCCTCAGTATGTGTTTTAAAACCTAATGTCCAACTACATATGTGAAATGTCTATGTAAAGCAGAATGAAAATTATAAACACTGAAAGTTACTTAAATTATAAGATAATAGTTTCACTTACTTTATGGCTCAATATCCTACATGAGTCATGGTTGCTGGGATTAGTGCATTTTTTTTTTCATCTAATTGGAACCATAAAAAAATTCAGTGCTATAATTGGATAATCTGAATTTAATAGAAGATGAAAAGACACAAAGTATACACATCACTCATTTCTGAACATGCCATTACATTAAAATTAAATTACTGAAACTCATATTAAAACAGAATAATTCAATATTAAAATGTCTGCTATAAAAGTGTGAAATCTCAAATGCAAGATAAAAACTGCCCAAACACAAATTTTATAAACAACAACAAAACCCACAATTTAAAGTAACTGAAACAGATCAAGGACTTAGTGGAAAGAAAAGAATCAAAAGGAAAGACCTTTTATTGTAAATTATAAAAACAGGACATGTTTCTTGGTGTCTTGTATTAGCATTCATTTCCCATCGTCTTCACAATATCGCATGGCTTGCTGCTTTCTGTCATACTAAGTATTCTCCTGCAATCTACAACCACCAAAGCACAAATGGAGAAACAAAGTGTCCAGCAGGTTCTTGTGAGACACATCACTAGAGAAATTAATCCAACAAACACATGGAAATTTAGTTTTCAAAGAAAAATAAAACAAATAATAAAAACAAAGCATTTTTTTTTCCCATAATTTAATCATTCTGCTGATTCAGAGGCACCATAAGACTGTGCTGTGGCATTATCTTCTTGCTTTGTCATATGCTGAGGTACCTGCAGCAGAATTCTGGTTACTGGAGGTTTGAAAAAAGAAGTTTTATATGTGGTTCACATAACATCAAGGGACTACAGATACAACACAAGAATTCGGATGTGTATTTGTACACAATTTATACTATGCTGAGAAAAATTTTAAATTAAAGTTACCAAATGAGCATTTTTTAGCACATTTAGTAATGACTATTTATATATACTATCATTTTATTTTGGTGACCAAATTAAATTTGAACATAATTAAAGAACGTGTAACTTTCAAGCAACATTTAACAAATACAGTTATAGAACTGTTACAATGAGAGTCACATACACGTATTAAAGAGCACTGAGGTTTCTCAAACCCATTGTTTTGAAGGTTTTCAACCCTTCTTAATGTAAATCAGTGTAAAAACTCTAAAAATTATACTCAGTCTTAGAGGACAATGTGGTGAATCAATGCTGACCACTGAGCAGATCGTGTTTGTCTTTGACTCTCCCGACAACCATTGAGACACATGGACATATTCAGATGTGGTTGATTCAACCAACTGCAGAGGAAATTTTCAACTTAAAACTGGCCAAAATAAGTGACAACTAGGAATGGCTGAATCACACTGCACCTGTCAGATCCTGCCTTAAATCCTAGTTTTGCTACTGACTATCTAGTGCTTTTGGATTCCGTAGTTAGGGTTAAAATAAAAAAAAAAAAAAAAAAAAAAAAAAGCTTCTGTATTCAAACCTATCTACAGAATATTTAAAAAAACCTGTGGATATATACATTTAATATACACTCATACATACATACTCACATTCATACTCACATGTCTAGAAACCAGCACCTAACCACATCCCATTTCTCACTAATGACTCAACAAATCATTTACTACTTTAAGACCAGCTTACACTCTATAAGGCTGTAACAGCGTATGGCTAAAAAGGTCAAACAAGCACCGACACTCAGGCTGGACTCAACTTCCTCTTCATGATTTCTGACAAGCAGTAATATAACAGTTTATATAACAGACCTTACTAACTTAGTATCTGAGTATAAAACCACAAGCATGGATCTCCCTCACTGCTGTAAGGATGAGAGTGCATCCCATGAGATCATGGAACCGTACAAATGATCTTTACTCCTAGTCTAAACAAACGTGAGTCAAAACATTCTGAAAAGCTGCATCCTTTGATTTCTTCATCTTTTCAATTGCCCGATGCAGGTCCTGCTGCTGCACAGGCCGGATTTCATCTTCATCATGACTAAAATGTAAACAAAACCATCAAATTGCCAAATCATTTTAAAGTATGCCTACCTAAAATATTTTACCAAGATTAAAAGATACCTGTGTTTAAAAATACGCTTGGTTTTAATTATATAAGAGTATAATAATAGTCTTCTTCCCCGTTCCAGAACCAAAGACAATGACAATACACTGGACATTCTTCTAGAGGTCATCTGTACACAAGAGTAAATGTGGATATGAAAGTCACAAGGCACTGTGTTAAGATTTACTTTCATTTGTATGGTGTTTGCCTGCATGTACATATATCCAGCATGTATGTTCCTGGTGCCCTCAGAGGTCAGAAGAGGGCCTCAGAGTCCCTGAAACTGGAGTTACAGATAGCAGTGAGAAACCCTATGGGCACTGGAAACCAAATCCAGGTCCTCTTCCAAGAGCAGCCAGTGCTCTTACCCACTCAGTCATCTCTCCAGTCCCATTACAGGATACTTTTAAAAGCACTGAGTAATTAAGAGGCAGCCAAGCAAAATGGCTGTGTAAAATCATTTCCCACCATGAGCAGCACACTTTCATTAACGTTTGGCAGATATTCAAACTGAAGCATAATTTCAACCAGGAAATCAAGTTACTCTGGTGAACAGAAAAAACCCAAACCTAGCACTTCCTAGGCATATGCATATATGTATGTACACCTGTAGCCTTTTCCAAGATAGAAGTATCAACATTCTTAAAAACAACTCATCTAAGGCGTCCTCTTTAGTTTAATCTTGACAAACAAACAATAAGCCCTCACCACCAAAAAATGTTGGTAGTTTACAGACACTTGTGGAAAACAGGATGATTCGAGTCTAATGGCCAGATTTTCAAGGCTTTCAAGCTTTTTGTCTTTCATTATTAATGTAATTAATTTAAGCACAGTTTATGTGCCATTTGTTTATTTCTATTTTTAATTTTTTTTGTTAGAAAAAAGACCTTTGGGAGGCAGGTTTTTGACGATGTTAAAACATTCCCAACTTGCTGAAATAGCTGGAATTATAGAGCAGCACAGACATGGTGCGCATCTCTCACATGCAGCAGGAGGGAGTAGCACAGTGGGTGAGAACCATGCTACTGTCTAGCAGGAACTCCAAGCAAAAGTAAGTAAATGAATTTTAAGAGACACTTACTATGGCACCCCACTATACTTAGATGCATGGATACCACAGGCAAGTCAGGGTAACACGGTATGAAAACATCAGAGCAAGAGAGATTGGCAAACTCCTCTAATACGACCTCAAAGGAACACTGGTTTACTAAGAACTTCTTTATTAGAGAGCTGACATTCTGAAAAGATGTACGGTGTAATGCTGCTTCAGGAGGTCTTTTCAGAATCTTTCTCAGCACCGTTAATTCAGAGCCAACTTATGTTTGCTGAAATAAGGATAACAAAACTGATTTCTCAATATCACCACACTTTTAAATGGTTTCAAGGGAAATTAGCTGATGTAAGAAATGGCATTACTGCTCAGCTGAAGCCCAGTCCACAGCAGCCCCACACCCCTTTCTTATGTGTGAAATTTATGGAAGATAACACACTCATTTCTACACATAATTTAATTTTAAGATACAGAAACAATCTATAGATCCTAGAGAACCCTGTTTTCTTAACACAGAGGGCAAGCCTGGCAAGCCATTGTTTACCAAATGAAAATCAGTATTTTTCCCCTTAATTCTAGAACATCCCCACAGCAATGTCTCCATTTACAGAACTCTTTAGGAAAATAAGGTTAAGCACTTCTATGAAAACATGAGGACCTGAGTTTGATGTTACACTGAAGAAAAAAGAAAAAAAAAAAAAAAAAGGATGGAGCCGGGCTTGGTGGTACATGCCAGCACTTGAGGAGGCAGAGGCAGCCAGATCTTTGTGAGTTCGAGTTCGAGGCCAGGCTGGTCTACAAAGTGAGTTGAGGACAGCCAGGGCTACACAGAGAAACCCTGACTCAAAAAAAAAAAAAAGGACGGATGCGCTATAATCTCAGAGCTGAGAAGGTGGTGATGGAAGGATCTCAGTCTGCTGACCAGCCCAATCTAGCAGACCTCTGGGTTCAGTAAGACCCCCCATTATCTTAAAAACTAAGGTGGACAGGAATTGTAAGACACCTAACATCAACCTGCATGTACACATGAACACATATACATATATGAACGCACACAAAAAATGGCAATAAAGAAGGGATGTGTTGCCAATTCAAATATTTTTTCTACAAGCAGTCTAGTATAAAGCAAAACAACAATAACCATCTAATCAAAACAGTTTGACAAGATACCAGAAATCGAGTCTAAATAATTACCTTTCTTCTGATGTAGAATTGACATATTCCCTGACGCAGAGGAGGGCAGCATCTCGACACATTTCTTTTAGGTCACTTCCTGAAAACCCATCAGTTTCCTGGGCAACTTCTAGAAGATCTACATGTCTATCCACCTTAAACAAACAGAAACATGCTTATAATAAGTGTATAAAATTAAGCAAAATACTTCCAAATATCCATTTGCAAATCAATGTTAAGTATATCATAACAGCCAAGTGGAAAGAGACAAAAATATTCTTAGTCCCATAAAAACTTAGAAATTAAAAAATCCAATTTTCAAAAAATATATTAATTTTCATTATTTGTCATTACAACTGAAACATGCACAAGTGTCATCACTGACACTATTGCATCGTATTACCCTGCAGGCAGGTCATGTTTGTTAAGTAGCAGGGTTTGTAGGTGAATGATTTTGATGATCTACTTAATTAAATATACTACTGTAGAAGCTTGCTAAAAATGTATGAAATGAATTTAAAAAGAGTCACCTGTGTCTTTACACTTAAAACCCCATTTAATTATAATGTTTTAATATTCTGCTACCTCAATGCTAATTTAACTTAGTACTTGGTTTTGTCCTTCCATCTGAGCTTATGGGCTTGAGGGAATCCAAAACACACTAATGTGCAGACAAAGAGAAAATAAACAAGGTGTGATTTAAAGTCTATTTTGCCACATATTAGAAGAGTATTTGCTTAAACTGCCTTTTAAGATAGTGTTTATCTTCAGTGATAAGGTGTGATTCTTGGATGCAGAAAAAAGGAGAATCCTGTTTTCAAATCCAACCTGCTGGTCTGTGTCTTGAATCGTTACCAATAGTATTCAGGGTTATTACAGAGAGGTGTGTACTGGCTCCTGTTATTGTTGATTACTTAACAAGTGTTTCAGCATTATTTACTCTACCACCACAGCTACCAAACCATCCTCCCATAATCTCTTGTGTGGAATGAGTTTGATAGTAAAGAATTCCTTAGCCTACTTTTAACCTTGCAAGTTTTCCTGTGTCCTTTAGTTATGACAGTCTTTCTGGGTATATTAGGATGGACTGGTAACTGTGATCATTCAGAATTTGAAATACACCATTCCAAGCTCTCCTTGCTGTTAAGGTTTCACTTGAAAAGCATTTATTTTGAAGAGCCTGCCTTTATACTTGAGTTGGCTTTCAATACACTTTCTTTATTCAGTGTTTTAACTACACACGGCATGTGCAGTTTCTTTTTTGGTCATGTCTGTTTAGTGTTGTATGTTCTCTTCTACCTGGGTGGTCTTCTCTTTCTCTCAACTTAGGAAATTTTCCTTTTGATTTTATTACAAGTATTTTCTATGCCTTTGGTGTGAATTCTTTTCCTTCTTCTATACCCATAATTCTTAAATTTTGCCTCTTCATGGTATCCAAGTTCTTGTTTGTTCTGTTCCTACATTTTAAAAAATTAATCAATGACCTTAACTGAATGCTAATTAATTTTTTAGATGTGGGAAGACTTGGAAGTGAGAAACAGCATGGGATCTGCTCTGCTGCCTGCTCTGCAACTATGACCTTCAAATTACAGTGTTACCTTCCTTAAATACAAGTGTTAAATGAAGAGAAGTTGGGGCTGGAGAGATGCCTCAAAAATTAACAACACTGGCTGCTCTTCCAGAGGCCCTCGGTTCATTTCCCAGCAACACGGTGGCTCACATCCATTTATAAAGGGATCTGACGCCCTCTTGTGGCATGCAGGTGTACATGCAGACATAGCACTCATACATTAAAATAACTGATTTTGTTTTAAAGAGAAGCTATGTATCTTCAACAAAAAGAAAAATTAATCTAGAGGCTAAGAGACCTGAACTGTTTAAGACGCAACACACACACACACGGAAAGAAAGAAAGTCTATACTAACAATCATCTTTTAATTTAGGGTATAGAAAGCAGAAGAAAAATTCTAGATAAGAACCTGTAAGGCACAGGAAACATAAGTTTACAATCAGTATAGGAAATATGAAATATAAACACACTACTGAACATGACTTTGCAGAAAGCAAAAACAAGGTATTTCATGGGAAGAACTAAATTAAGACAAAATCAATTCAAGCTTATAATTAAAACAAATGCAACCAACTAAACTAAGACAAGATTATCCATATCATAAAGAAGCAGGCTTTATATCATACTTGAAAGATACATATATAATTGAAAATAAACAGTTACAAGTTATATGTAAGACAAATATGAAATGAAATGAAGGTGGTGTTCTTTTAGTTGCATTAGATCAGAGTTACGTGCACTGGAGTACAGTCTTTTTTGCTCAAGGTGCATACTTGGGGAAATAAGTCATTGCATAATGATAAAAATTTCACTAGGAACAAAAATCCCTCTGTACCTTTATATACACCTATCATTTCAGAATATAAGCAGCAAAAATGAACAACGAGGCAAATGAGCAAACCACAATACTCGAAGGGTGGTAACCTGCCTTGCCTCTATGATGATAGGTCACACAATCAAGTCTAATTCTACCTAGTAACATGCAAGCATGATAAAGCTGTCTTTATTAAGTGCATCTATCAATATGAGGCTTTTAAAAACAAAAGTAAATGAATCTCAGATTTTACCAAAGCTGTATTATGCTTTGTTATTTTCATATCAGCAATTAACCAGGGAGCATTCATATTTCCATTATAAAATGATTAAAGACTAATCCTTATGCTTTTATAAACACAAAACAAAATGCTAAAGTCTCTGTATCCATGACAAATATAATTTCCAAAGACCTTACTGTGTTTAAAAAATAAAAAAGACCACTAAAATTGGTTTAAATTACACACGAATCATTTCTAAGTTTGAATGAGACAAAGACCTTAAATTCCATTATTTATATTTACCATCTATACGTAAAACAGCTACACTAGACCACATATGATGTTCAAAAACATTATTAAGTTGCCAGGAGGCATGGTGGCACATGCCTTCGCAGGCAGGTCACTGACTTCCGGGCCAGTCTAAGCCACATAACAAGTTCCAGGCCAGCCAAGGCTATACACTGACACCCTGTCAAAACAAATGAAAAATGTTGGCCTGGTAGAGGTGGTACATGCCTTTAATCCTAGCACTCAAGAGGAAGAGGCAGTAGAGGCAGGGATCTCTGAGTTTGAGGCCACTCTGGTTCTAGAACAGCCAGGGCTATACAGAAAAACCTAGTGAGCTTGAGGCCAGCCTGGTCTAGAAAGCAAGTCCAGGACAGCTAAGTCCACATAGAGAAACCCTGTCTCTAAATAAATAAATAAAATCAAGCTTTCTTATTATACAATGTATCTTATTCATAAATTTCTGTTCATTTGTGGTTTGCTGAAGCAGGGGCTTGCCAGTATAGCACTGGATGGCCTTCAACTTTTAGTCCTCCTGCCTCAGCTTCCCAAATGGTAAGACTTGGTTGGGTGTCCATGCCTAGCTTAAATTATTATAGATTGAATAATTATATTAGTTATTTCAACTATCTTCTAATTGTTTCCAGGAATACTACAGCTACACTAATTCAAAAGCACTGTTTCATTTGACTGATACCTCTCCTTGTTAAAGGTTTGCCAAATGAACAATGTTTAATCCAAACAGCACTATAACTATAATATTTTCCTGAACATTATTATTCAATTAAAATCCAAAAAGTCATTTGTCAGTTTTTAATCTAAGATATAAATTCCTTACCTAGAAAAGTATTTTAAAAGAATTTTCCTAAAACTATAAAAAAAAAAAAACATGAATATATAGATTTCTTAGAAAAGTCTATGTAGCTTTTATCTTGCCTCCCAAATGGTTAATAATGGATCTAATTTTTGTAAATAGGTTAAGTTCTTTATATATTATAGTATATATACAATTGATATATATATATATATAACTTTATATATAGTATATATAATTGCTATAGAGTAGATAAGTGACAGGTTCAAGTGATCCTGGGAGATGGCGCCTGATGAGAGGTGTTTGGTTATGCTAGAACAGTCGTGAGTGGATTGATGTTACCTGTGAAGGAGTCATTACCAAATTTGCAAGTTTGGGAGTTTTATTCTTTTTATTTTTGCCTTATTCTTACTAACCTGTCCTGTGCTATTCATGAAGTATCTGAGTGTGACTAGATATTGTCATTACATACTTGAACCTTGCAACATGCAGAACTATAAATTAAATAAGTCTATTATATCCTGTTACAACAGCAGAGAACAGCCTAACATGAGAGATGGTTCAGTTAAACACCGATTGCTCTTCCAGAGGTTCCGGGTTCTATTTCCAGCACGACAGTGGCTCCTCTACTGTCTGTAACTCCAGTTCTGGGGATCACACTATCTCTTCTGCTCTCCACAGACACTGCACATACGTTACACTTAAATACATTCAGGAAAACCACCTGTACACAATCACTTTTTTTCTTTTAATAAAGAAACTAATTAAAGCACTGCTTCTAAGAAAAACAAGAAAGTTATCAAGCAAAAAGATGTAAAACCAGAAAGAGCTTCACTATCAAAAATGATCCATCAAAAATTTTTTTTTTGTACTTTAGTAAGACAAACTGATATTAAATTCCCCATAAAAATAAACAAAAAGACCTTTGTGTTAAAGGACAGGCAAGGTCTAACAGAACCAAGTATTACAGCTGTCTCCAAGTGAAAACAATGTGATGCTGGTACAAAGAGACCCAAAAGACCAACCACCTGATGCAGACTAGACTATGATAACGAAGTCTATTTAGAAAAAGACAGATACTCAATAACTGGCATTGGGACAGCTGATTTGGACACATATTAGATCAACATTCTAGTTTTAAAAATCTGTATTAATTCCAAGTACACGAAAGATTTAAAAACTCTTGAGACAAAGGCCACCCTGACTGGTGCACCCTCCTGGTGGAAGAATGCAGGCCACCTAAGAAGCAGTCCTTCCCTTTCCCTCTCCACCAACCTCAACCCGACCCACCCAGGCTTCTGACCCAGCTATCAAATTTCAGTAACAGCCACTCTTCAGTGGAAACTTGCACTCTGGAAAACAAACAATTTGGAAGAGAGAAAAACGGGGACAACAGGAGAGGTGGGTAAATGAAGGAAAAAGCTATTGACTATAGATTTAGACAATCTTTT